AACCCGGGCCGCACGCATGCCAGGCGAGCACACTACCGCTTGAGCCACATCCCCAGCCCCTGGCTTGGAACTTTTGATCTCTCTGCCTTAGCCTCCTGAGTTGCTGGTATTAGATATGTACCACCACGCCTGGCCTGTCATCCCATTTCATAGAAGAGGCTCAGAGTTCAAGTGACTTACCTGTTGTCATATAGCTAGCTACTGGAAGAGTCTACATTTGAATCCAGATCTGTGGTACTGTTTTATATTGCCTTTGTGCCTAGAAAGATGGCCATGGCGGGGCTGGGGTTGTAGCTCAGTGGTAGAGTGCTTTGCTAGCATGTATGTGGCCCTGGGTTTGATTCCCAGCACCACATAAAACTAAATAAACAAAGGTATTGTGTCCATCTACAACTAAAAATATAGTAAGAAAGAAAGATGGCCATCCCTTTTTTTCTTATCTTTTTCAGGCATTCATTTCTTTTTTCTTTTCTTTTTTGTGGGGGGGAGGGCACCAGGGATTGAATTCAGAGGTGCTTAACCACTGAACCACATCCCCAGCCCATTTTTATATTTTATTTTGAGACAGGGTTTCACTAAGTTGCCTAGGGCTTTGCTAAGTTGCTGAAACTGGCTTTGAACTTGTGATCCTCCTGCCTGAGCCTCCTGAGCTGCTGGGATTACAGGTGTATGACACCACATCTGGCTTCAGGCATGCTAGGTTTTTTCCTAATATTTAGTGTGTGCCAGATACTATGATGAGTTTTTTATGTGTATTATTTTATCTTTCTGATAATCTAGCATGGTGGGTACTACTTATTCCCATTTTAGAAATGAGAAAACTGAGGCATAGAGGCAGCAAGTAGCTTACTCAAAGTCAGACAACTTGTAATGGGATTTTGACCTCGCTCTCTGTCTCTAAAGTATTTTATTTTACCAAAATCTAATTTACATATAGTCTTTTGGTAGCATATGTACTAAAAAAACTGAATTTCAGCTATAATCAGAATAGGAGCAATTTTTTTTCATTTTTCCTAGCAATGAGCTCACTGCTCATGAATAATAGGCTGCTCTGGAAATGTCACCATGCCGGGTATGCCCCTGTGTAGGGCAGCAGTGAACCATGTGGCTGGCAGCCTGGTAGGTGGGCTGCATTAAGTAAGCAGTTTCTGACATATGTTTATAGTGTTCTGATGGGGACTTGGCAAAAAGTGACAAGGCCGATGCTCTGTCTGCTGTTCCACCTTGGCAAGGGCTTTGACACCCTTCTTCCATCAGAAACTTCAAAGAAGGTGCCTCCATGATCCAATCTTTCTTTGGCCCAGCATCTGAAGCTCTGTGTGGTACTAACCTTCTGAGTTACTCCTAAGCCAAAGTGCAAAGGAGGCAGGATTTCTCTTCCATATCATATCTAGAACTCCCAGATTCCCTATTTAGAGCCCAGGCTCTGAGCAGTACTCATGCTGCCCCACTGGTATCTGCTGGCAGGAATGACTGCACTCTTTTTTTTTTTTGTACCAGGAATTGAACCCAGGGGCACTTAACCACTGAACCACATTCTGGCCCTTTTCATTTTTTATTTTGAGACAAAGTCTCGCTAAGTTGCTTAGGGTCTCGTTAAGTTGCTGAGGCTGGCTTTGGGCTCCTGCCAGTAAGAGAGCCAGGTGTGCAACCTCACCGAGCACTGCCCTTGCCTCCCTTACCTGCCATCTTCCATGTGGTTCCCATTTGGGTCCATAGGTGGCTGGGGCTAACCTAGTCTGGATGAATTGGGACAATTTACCATTAGCAAGGTGTGATCCCCCCCCCCCTTTGTCAATCATAGAGTCTCAACTGTCATCTTTCCAATTATCCCAGCAGTGACCTTGATACCAAGATATCCCAGAGCTCAACTTGGACCTGAGCTGGTTGACTTTTATGGACTTGGGAATAAGGCCAAACTTGGATTTGAATCCCAGTTCTGCTATCTACCTCTCTGTGACTTTGGACAGGTCACTTAACCTCTATGCTTCAATTTCTCACTGGTAAAATAGTCATAATAATACCCCTTAGGGGGTTATTGTCAGTATGAATTGTCTTAATCCATGTAAACACTTAGTTCAGTCTCCAGCACATAGTAAATATTCATTATTGTTTAATATGTTGTTTTTTAAAAAATATATATTTAGTTGTCAATGGACCTTTATTTTATTTATTTATTTTTATGTGGTGCTGAGGTTGAACTCAGCGCCCCACACATGCTAGGCAAGCACTCTACCATTGAGCCCCAGCCCAGCACAGTATATTGTTATATGGCTACAGCAGTGGCTTGTCCTGGACCAATGGGTGATCTGCTCTCTCTGGCAGCTGGTAGAAGGTCATGTGGCTATCAGTTGGCAATTACCAACAACGATTCTACTTTGTTTCTTCTTTCCCTAGGTGAACATCATCCCCATCATTGCCAAATCAGATGCCATTTCTAAGAGCGAGCTAACAAAGTTCAAAATCAAAATCACCAGTGAACTTGTCAGCAACGGGGTCCAGATCTATCAATTCCCCACAGATGATGAATCGGTGGCGGAGATCAACGGAACCATGAATGTGAGTTGGATCTCAAGGGTTTAACTTTCTTTTGTGCTCTATTATTATTACTTTACAAAATAACAGAAAAAAATAACAGTGAAGTACCCTCACTAGCCATCTTAGTATAGTTAACCCTTGATGACCTGGAGTCTCAGATATTTATGAGAAAATCCAGAAACGAGTCAGCTTCTTTCTCCTAGTGGTGGCTGCTGCAAAACCTCAGAGATTCAGTGATTAACAGCCAGTCTGAGAGAAAGGAAAAGGCTGACTCCGGGTGGAGCATGGAGCGTGGAGCAGGGAATTCAGACCTCTTAGCTCATCTTCACGATGCCACTCTGGTCTAGGCCAGGCAGCCCCTGTGAGACTGCAGGAAATGCAGTCTTTTTTTTTTTTTTTTGAGAATTTTTAATATTTATTTTTTAGTTCTCGGCAGACACAACATCTTTGTTGGTATATGGTGCTGAGGATCGAACCTGGGCCGCACGCATGCCAGGCGAGCACGCTACCGCTTGAGCCACATCCCCAGCCCAGGAAATGCAGTCTTTGCAGTCTTTGTCTCTGACCAAGACAAACAATGCAGGAAAAAAAAAGCTGAAAAAGTTAACTAGCTTCAGAGACTCAGGGATAATCTGTACTCAGATAATCAAGCCTTCTGTCCTGGGAAGAAGAATGATATATAGCCTCCAATTTTGCTGGTGACTAGGAAGATGTTATTTTTAAGTATCGGGGTTATGCTTTGCTTTATTAAGTGTGAATGAATAATAAAAAAAAAAAGATCTGTCCTCTTTTCTCTCCTCCCCCACTTCCCCCTACGAGAGGAATGAGTAATAAAGGCAGAGAGTCAAACAGCTCCTCATGCTTCTTTATAATGTGTTGATGCTGTTGCTGTGAAAGCTTCAATGTTGTGATTTTAAGAAGACAGCTAATAGCTTTCCAAAAGCCTCTGCTTTGGGAACAGATTTCTTTTTCTCTATTGAGAGGCATCAGTTTTTCCTAATGACATAATGCCTGGGGATAGCCAAATTCAGGAAAACCTTGTAATAAAAACCATTTTTAGAAAACTTTCCTGCTGCCACTGCCCTCTAAGTTATCATTACAGCATCAGCTGCACCTCCTATGAATTGGCCAACAAATTAGCATAGCAGGGCTGCGAGTCATTGTCTCGCCTGACTTCCTGTCCATCAGTGTACCCGAGATAGGTTTGTTATGAGAAGTCCCTCATCATCTTTGACAAATGTGGCTCAAGGATAAGGCTGTGTGGATTGCGGTAGGTGGAGCTATGTCCTCTGTGACCTGATGTGGGCATGGAAAAAATTGAAAAGATTAGTGCTTGTCCTCGCAAGCAGTCAGGGCGTTTTGATGGAAAGTAGGTTCTGTTACGATGAGAAAACCTGAATGGGTGGCTAGCCTGCAGAAAAATAGGAGCCTGGAGAGAAGTATTATCTCGGTGTCATTGGTGCTGGTATCTGGAAGCATGTAGTCACCTCAGGACAACGGCTCCCATGGGTGTCTTCCAAATTCTGATTGATTCTCTAAGTCACCAAGGAGCCTTCAGACTTATGGTTTGCTTTGCTGAGAACAAATAGGGCCTATAATTTCTCACCAATCTCAAGGTATCACACAAAACCATGTCTAACTACATTATAGGTTAGTGGATTAGGAATGACAATCCTCCTGGGACCTAAAGCTCAGCCCTGACCTCTGCTTGAGCCTAGGGCAGGTTCAACCTCAAGGTTGGAAAATTCCTATGCTATGAAGCAGCAGTTCTAAATCAGGCTTTTTTTTTTTTTTTTGGTGATGCTGTGGATGGAGCCAGGGCCTTGTGCATACTAGGCAAACACTCTACCACTGAGCTACTCCCTCAGCCCTCAACCAAGCTTTTATGGCTGTGAATAGGTTATGGGTCCCCTGGTATTCATAACAGCCTAGTGTTAGCCAGTGTTTCACTCTGAAAAACGAATTTGAGTAGATTCAGGGTTGTTCCTATAACAACTGCTCATCATTCACCCCCTGGCATTCCACCATGCTTTTTTGAGTGGGAAAGAGAAGGGTTGCTTCTCGCTAGTATGCCTGGAATGGGCATGCCCCTGGGAGGGGTCTACATGGGACTCCCTATGCTGGGGTAGGGGAGAAACAGGAAGGAATCACCACTACAAAATACATACACTGGATTGCTTAGCCTGCCTGCCCCTGGAGCAACCATGTCAAAAGTCCCCAGAGTCTTTGGACAAGCCATTTGTGTTTGAAGCTACATCATCGCAGTCCTGGGCTTGGCATTTGAATTCTGGGTTTCACTCCAGCCCCACAGTCTCAGCCACCACAGCCAATTCTCCTGGGGAGTGAGTGGATTGGAAGAAATGGAGGAAACCTCTTCTTTAAGTGGAGAATATCTTACAGCTGTTCTGTTGCTTACCACTGGGGATTTTATTGGCTCCCCCTTGCCTTTTTGGTGGCCCTAGAAAGCCTTATTTCAGATTGAGAGGGCAAAAAAAGGGAGAGAGAGATCTCATTGCATGCTACTTTCAACCTGTGCTCTGATCTCCCTCAAGGTTCGATACTTTCATATCAAAAATTGCTGTAGGGCTGAGAGTATAGCTCAGTTGGTAGAGTGCTTGCCTTGCATGTATAAGGCCCTGAGTTCAATCCCCAGCACTGCCAAAAA